TTTCATCCTTGCATATTACCTGAGCCTGTATTACACCTGCTCCTTACCTCATCAAGACCTCCATTTACCCAACCCTGGCATGTTTCCTCTCTAAACTTCCCTCTCTGATCTGCCCCTTTCTGAAACTACCATTGACTCAGCATCATCACCAACATCTTTCCTTGGCCCCAGTCTGCATTCCGATTCCTGATCCTATCCAGAATTAATTCAATCATCTTTTGCTCTGGGAATAAATCCCTAGATTCAGAGCACTGATGGAGGATAACAAAACCTAGATCAATTTTATTCCAATGACCTTCTAGGGTTCTCATTTCAGCTACACCCTTAACAATTCTCTATAATCTTTTTTTTCTTAAGCTTCCTCCCTAAAGCAGTCGCACAACTCTCTTCAAGCTGCATCACTGTACTTGCAAAACGCACTCTGCTGAAACACATTTCCTATCCTTTCACAGAGCTTCTTAAACATTTTGAAAACTTCTTATAGCCTAGAAAAGAAAACCCAGGGTTCTTATCATGCCAGGACCTTCACTGTTTTCCTAGGTAATTTTCACTCCTTACTTCCAACCTTGGTGCTGCTGTGCCCTTGCAGGACCCACATCGGACTACTTGCTTCATGTGTCTAACACCTCCTGCCTTTACGCCTCTGCTTTTGCTCATACTTTATCCTCTCTAGAACAGCTTTCACTGTCTCACCACAGTATGATTAATTCTTCCTCACCAGTATTTCTAAGACGCTTTATCCATACTCTCTAATGCCCTCATTGCATTCTGACTATACTATAAGTATGTGTTTAACTTCTTTCATATACACACTAGTATCTTAACGACAAGTACAAGGTATTATTTCAAAGTTTTGTTCCTGAATAGGTTTGTTTGCCTGTTTGGTGGGGTTTGCTTTTGTTTGCTTCTGTTTTTTCACACCTAGAAAATTAATCAGCACATAAATAGCACTTAATAAATAGTTCTTAAGTAAATGGGAGCATTGAAATATAATAAGGACATTGGAATGTCTCAGAATTTAAAAAGCAATAAAAGATGTTTGAAAACTCTATGAACACATTCCTACCATTATAATTTGAACATCAATATACACATTTAAACCTGGTCATTATCTTAAACATTCCCAGAAAGAAATAAACAGTTCATTCTATTGGATACTTGCCTCCATTTGAATACAATCCTTACTCTGTAACAATATTTTACAGAAAAGAAATTACTTTATTGACCTCAATACTAGAAGAGTTATTAAGTAACAACTCTCTCACAGACAGTAAAATGGTTTTTTCCACAAGCCAGTTATATTGTTATTGTAGAAACATTAATTAAACCTCTATACTTCATTTTTCTTGCCTATGGAAGGGGAGAAAATAACTGTACCTATCTTTTAGATTAGCACTGACAATTAAGTGGGCTAATACACGTAAAGCAGTTAACATCCCTGGAGAAGTAGAAACTCAGAAAAGAAAGTATTATTGTTATTCTAATTGGAGCAGCCAACTTTGCAGGTTCTCATGAGTTCTTGAGAGAATTGAATGTTACTTTCATGTTACTAATAAAACTATGTGTGTATGAACCCCTTCAGGTCCTTATAATCTAAAGTAAGTTAAACTAGAAGTGTATAGTTTAAAATGAACAGGAACAATATAATTGGACATTAAGATAAACAGAAAAATATAAATTAACATTAGATTTTTTTTAATGTATGTAAGTAGAGGAGTGAAACATATCATGTAGCTAGTTCAATAAATTGGCAAATATTCATGCTGAGTAAATCCTGGGAAGTTTTTATCTCTGTCTTATTATCAAAGAGGCTACATATAGTCGATGGGACTACAGGCTCCACTTAAAGAGTAATCCTGACTCTTACTCAATGAAGACATTCAAAACATAGAATACAATCTATGTTTTAAGAGTAGGGGGAACTTGAGTGACATTGTTTATGTTCAGTAACCCAGAAGTGGTCCCTAGCACCATGAGGACTCACAGTGGGAACTTCAGATATAAAGGAATATGAATGAATCTAATTACAGGCTGTGTTTGAATCAATAATGGTACATTATTTATTGAAATTCTAATTGTAAGTGGCAAGAAAAATAAGACAAAAAGGTATAGAAACCCAATTGCAACTGGCTGCATTTATTTTCCCGTTTTCTTTGTTTTCTATAAATACACTGTCAGATTACTTTTTCTAAATTTAATAATGAAAAGATTTCTTATAAACTGTAACAGAATTTATGTGACACATTTTTATTTTTTCCTTAGTACTAAATACCATTTTATTAAACTTAATTTGAATGCTACAGTGTGATGCTTAGAGATATAAATTGAATTATTAAATAATTTACTTTCTTATTTTAATCTGGTCCATTTTTCTACAGAATTATTTTTTATTATGGAAACACACAGAACTATTTTCAGTTTCTTTTTTAAATATTCTGTTCAAAATGTAATTTGAAGATTATCTCTTGAAGAGGCTTGTGTGCCAAATTATCAGGCAAATTAAAGTGGAAAGTTATTTATAACACTTATAACATGGGAAATATCAGCACTTTTAAATGAATTCTCATAATACTAAATAATCTTGCAAAAGAATTAACCAATTAAGAAAATATTTAGCCCTTTTATAGAATACATAGTGCAAATTTTATGATGGGATAATGGGGTAAAATTGGAAGGAAGGTAGAAATTAATTAATCTACCATGTTTTCAAGATGCCTAAATGGCTTTGGAGTAAGCATTTCCCCACTGACCATTGACCCCTCACACCCACCCCGGCCATGTTTCTAGGGAAGACAGCTAAACACTGTGAGGTCCACTGATATTGAAAGCATATATCAAGGATTTTCATAACGGTTCTGATGATGCTGATGAGCACACCATTATGCCTCAGGACCTGAGATCCAATATTGTTTTAGGAAATAGGGTCATATGGCATAACTCCCCTACAGGCTGAAAAGAGTGGAAATGATGTGGGGAGAAGGGAATTAAAATGCCTAGAGCAGGAGGTCCAAGAGCTGCCCCAAGACCTAAAAAAAAAAAAAAAAAAAAAATAGGGAACTATCAGAAGAAAAGTAGGAGTAAGATCATTTATTTGAGACTTTCTAGAAGTAAGTTAGGAATGTGAGAGAGACGCTGAGAAAGCTGTACAGTAGAAATGTCACAGCTGCTGTCAATGAGAGAAATTCACAGATGCTACAGCAGTGAAAGGATTAACAGCTGAGGAACAACCATATTGATTACCCACCACCCACCTGACTCCCAGGACCAGCACCATCAGCATCACCTGGGCTCCCGTTAGAAATGCAAATCTGGGCTCCCTGCCCCAGATTTACTAAATCTCAAACTCCAGAGGCTGGGACCAAGTCATCTGTGTTTTACCAAGCTCCCCC